TGTGCATAAATATATAACTAGTTGACTTGTTATCAACAGTCTGTCCACTGGCACACTTCTTTAAAATTTCTTCAACTTCTTTTGCTGCATCTTCTAAAAGAACTCGAATATTTGGACAAATTTTTGTGAAGGAAACTACTTCTTGATCGAGATGATGATGCTGTACATCAATCTGAATGACATCAGTACAATCAGTGACTATTACATGCTCAATAGTGGTGCTGTCGGGATCTTGATAACGGAATGTGACACGGTTTCTGTAGATGCCAATATCTTTTTCAAAACAAAGTTCCATTTTGTTTGTGAGTACAACCACAAAACGAGTGAAGAAACCAGGAGGTATATATCCACTATTGAAGGTAATATGAAGTGGTGCCGCTTGAATAGAATCTGAAGGTAAAGTCATTGAGCTGCTGTTAACTTTTGTTGATTTGAGAACAAGAGGCATGAAATATTGCTTGGAAGGAGGAGGATATTTATCTGTCTCAACTTCAACAGCAATGCGAAAATGAACAAGTACTTTAAGAAAAATTTCTGATGATGCATCTTTATATTCTTTCCATAGCTCTACATAAAGTGGTTGAACAAGGATCCCACACTCATGAAACAGCTTCCATTCTTTGCAGTGCCTGCCTCGGTCAGGGTTGACATTTAATGGAAAAATTTTTCCAAGGGCATCTACAATATAACTTGGATTGATAATTATCATATCCTTCATACCATCAATTTGAGGGTAAAACAGCAACACACCCAGTTCATGATAAAACATGAGGACATCAGGTACATCTTGAGGTGGAATATTACTAGCAGCTCCAATGATACAAGCATTTTCTAAACTAATGACATTATACTTCTTGCTCAGAACTTGAATGACTTTTCGAAACAGAATCCAACTAAGAGGTGTTTTTAAAATGAGTATTTTTTCTGTGAAGCTAATGACAGCATCTCTTAAAGCTTGAAGAGTTGGGTCTTCAGCTTCACTTTGCCCAGAAGTGGTATTATCAACAATTACTGTATCTTCAATTAAAGCTCTATAATCTTTACCCTGATAATGCTGTTCTAGTTCCTTTTTTATTTCAGATTTTCTGTCCTTTACACGATCACCATGAGTGCCAATACAATACATTCGTGGAAACTCACAAAAACCTCCTTCTTCTTCATATGACATTAAGTGACCATGAATGTTAGCCATCCAATTGAGCATGTAATCAAGTGTCGTCATTTGAACTTCCTCTTGGTCAAAACTCTCACCTTCAATATTAATAACTGATTTCCAGTTTAACTTTAAATCTTTCTCTGCATCAAAAATAAGAAAGAATAATGTGCGAGAGGTAAGAAAAACTGGCAAAATTTCAAGAAAAGGCGGCTGACCACCACAATCCCAAAAATTAAGAAATGGCTGTGGCTTTAATGGCAAAGTGGGATTTTCATTAATGTAAGACAAAGCATCAGATATAATTTTTTCAACTTCAAGAATAATGTTGCTATGTGTTTCGGGGACAGACTGGGAACTTTCGTCATGAGCATATGCAGTAGCATCAGAGCCTTCAAGTTCTTTCTTATAAACAGCTAATATCAAACCAGCCAATTCTTCAATTTCATCCTCGTACAATACAGCTCTCCATTTATCTTCTTTGAGTGTGTGCCACTCGTGTGTAAATGGACGAACTTGACTAATATCTGATACGACAGTACTGGTAGTGTTAGGTTTCCATGGCAACTTCATAAGGGAACGTTTAAAGCTTGTCTTCCCCACTCCAGCAGTACCCAGAAAGAGAACACGTGAATAAGCAACATCCATTGCTCCTTCAGCTAGTGCCTTTTTGTATGCATTAGTTGTATGTCTTCTGGTCTAAAATAAACAACATACCATAAAGCAGAAAAAAAATTTAATCAAAATTTTGAACAAAAAATTTAAACTAAATGGGTGTGAAAGGGTGAAGACTAACAATAATATTGATGTTATTCCAAGTATTATTCAGTCAACAAAAATACAGTATCTTGCAAGATCTGCTTAGATAGACAATAATTTTTTTCTGCTTTTATGGTGCAACTACTACTGTATTATGTATATAGCAAAAAAATTTTGTGGCTCAAAATTCACGAAAATAAATTCAGCAAGAATTAATTAAATACGGTTTAACATAGATAAATTAAAAACAAGTGTGTAAGTGTACAAATATTTCTAATATTGCTTTTACCACCTTGCATGCATTGCTGGGTTCTCATTAAAGGCCACCATACACCATAAAACACCTTTTATACAGGAGTCAATGGAGCTAAAACATGTTTCATGAAGTTGAAATTTTTCAACTTTATGAAAAATGTTTTAAGCTCCATTGACTCCTGTATAAAAGATGTTTCATAAAACTAAATTTTATGAAACAAGTTTCATGGTGTATGATAGGTTCTTTCTACCTTCTAATGCTTCTTTTTGACATTATATACATCGCACATGGGTAAAACCAATTATAAGAACGACCTGCGGACTTTACCCCAGGTCGTAAAAACCAAAGCAATGTTGGACTCTCAAGTTAGACAGATGCACAAAAATTTCTGCGGTGTGTGTGTGTGTGTGTGTTATATCAATGATCATACTAAACAGGACCATAATAAAAAATATAAACCTGACCATGTCAAAGGAATGCTGTCATCGTATGTGTGTGTGTGTGTGGTAATTAATTTCAATTTAAATAAATTGACTGAGAGTACATAAAATAAATGACACACCAACTGTTTTATAAAGAAAGGTAAGAGGAATGTTTTAAGTTCACTTAAAACATGTAAGAAACAAAGTGAGACAACATAGCAGGTGCATAAGCAAATGCAACAATGCAAATTGGGATTTAGGATTCCAAAAATATCCTTATGATGCCAGACACATAATTAAGCTTCAAAATCAATAGCTATCATGGTATACAATAGCTATCAATGCTATCATATGGTATGGGTAATACTTATCATATTACCATATTTCCTTAAATAAAAGCCCGGTCGCCTATTTCTTAATGGCATTTGGACCTCAGAAAAAATTTAAGAAATAAAATCATTTGTCTATAGAAGTATCCGTTTTGGTATTCGTTTTTCTTTTGTTCGGATTTGATATGCGTTTTCTTGTGTTTTAGTGTAAATGAGACCCTTATGGTGGGTTATCAATATGATGCATTGCTTTTCATGTGCTAGTATCAATTCCGGAAGTGCTATATAAACAAATGGGAGTATGCATCAATGAGTCAGATTGGGATTAAACATAAAGGTAGCTCACCAACTATTGCAAGACAGATATTATTGTTGATAGATATCAAAGGAAAGATCAGATTACCGTACAAGATGATTTATTGGTGGGAGTAATCTTATTTGGCAAAATTGCCTGTGGAAAGAAATTGGCAGATTTTATATTGGCGATTTCTTCATAGAACCGCCAATCGCCAATATTAATTTTTCGCCAATCTTGTACAGATTTAAAAGAACTATGAGCTACACACTATGACTTAAGGCTGGTTTACAATATTATGCAAGTCCTGATTTTACATTGATGCAGGAATAGAACCTGGTTCTATTCTAACAGAAAGCATGCGTCAAAAGGTCAAATCGGCCATGTTTTTGATTAAAAATTGATGGTATGAAGGTTATATTGTAAACTAGCCTTTAACTCCTATTGTGTGACCAAGACAATAGTTTAATAATTGATATCAGAGAGAAAGACAGATTAAAAAATAACAAGTGTGCTTCCGAGCCGCCATTTTGTTGCTGTGGCCACACCCACTTTACGTGAGTGGGGGCTAGGTAGAGCGCTGCACTGCTAAGTGAGTCATAATTGTTATTTCTCCAATACAACATGTATAGAAGATAAGAAGAAATGTAAGCATTTTGACATAAAATCAATTATTATAAAAAATTAAAAAAAAACAAGATGAAGTAGGATTCC